TCCTAGAAAAGCTGACAAAGTGGAAATTATCATCATCTTAAAAATACATCATATCATAATTTGGGGTTATTTTCGTGGAGGGATGCAGGGTGGAAGACAGAAAGGAGAAAAAAGAACTTATAACTACAAGTGAGAGGAAGAGAGGATGGCAGGAGACGTGTCCATTAGAGAGAGGCTGCTGTCAAAGAGCGGAAAGCTGAGATTCTAGTTGAGCCAAAACCCATGCCCACACCATAAAGCAGGTGAGCAGCAGTATTGCTGAACATTTACTTAGTAACTGACATGTAAACGAAACTCCATTTACTGCTTACTTCAAATAACCAAAAATCATATGACTAAAAGGAAATCTCAAAAGGTTACCTAACCCAAGTTTCATTATCCAGGCGTGACAGGAACTGAGTTACCCCATGGCGACAACTGGAGCAGGCCAAGCGAGCACCCCGCCCCTAATCTTAAAGACCTAACACCAGGCGGGACCTCAATCTTGCCAGGGCACAGGGAGCTGGGCATAGGCTCTGTGTGACCCAGAGGACAGGCAGTGTCCTCAGCCAGAACCCAGGGACTCAAGGCAAGTCTCAGAAGGCTTGCAACAGGTCTAGGGGAAGCCGGCGGTCAGCCCTCTGGACGGCTGTCAAACCTTCTGCCCTAGGAAACAGTTCATGAAGAGAGTGTAAACTGGAAAAAGTAATAATTTAGACTTCAGCAAAGAGTTCTGTCGCTAATAATCAGAGAATGTCAAGTTGAGTTTACTGAATTTAATTCCCATCTGTTTAGCACTGCACAATGCTGAGAACAGTCAGATATCATATTGGCCACGCATGCAGACAAGGTAGTGGGGCTGGTTTCATCCAGGGGTAGGTGGGGGTAAGACAGAAAAGACAAGGGAAGGCAACATGCAGCCCTACTACTTGACCAGAATCAGGGGTGGCTATAAACACCAATGTGCCACCATCTCATTCACAAGACAGGTTTTATAATCCAAAGAGGCCAGGAATGAAAATCAGGCCTTCAGCTCTCCTGGCTTTCCTCACAATAGCCTGCCCTGCTTTCTCCAGGGTGTTCTTTTAGCTTGCTTTTTCCTTTTTTACTTAGCCCAAGTTTGTTCTGCAGAGCCAGTTTCTCCCTCACTCTTCACTTTTACTTTTTCAAATAAACCTTGCCACTTCTTTTTTAAAATTTGAAATAGAGTCTCACTACATAGACTAGGCTGGCCCTGAACTCATAGCAATCTTTCTGCCTCAGTCTCCAGAGTGCTAGGATTACAAGCATGTGCCACCGTGCCCAGCCTACCACTGCTTTTTGCTCATTTAGTTCAGTTCTTTGTTCGAGACCAGAAGAACCTGGAATCTAACTCCAGAAGGGGAGGCAAGCAAGCCAGAACCCAGTAATGTTTAATTAGTGAGCCACTTTTAGAAGAAGCTGTCTGATAACATTCTGGCATAACCAGTACATTTCGCTAACAAGACCCTGTCTCAAAAAAACAAAAAAAAGGGAAAACATTTATATATAACTGAGTACTACTCTGTCATAAAATAAGAATAAACGAGGGCTGGGGATTAGGCTCAGTGGCACCACGCCTGCCTCAAAAGTGCAAGGTACTGAGTTCAATCCCCCATACCAAAAAAAAAAAAAAAGGATCATCTAGTCATTTGTAGGAAAATGGATGCACCTTGAGACCATAAAGTTAAGTAAATCAGAGACATAAGCTTAAATATGATTTCTCAGATATGAAACTCAATATATAAAGTACAAAATAATAGATAATAGAAGAGAAAAAAATTATTGCAATCCAGCATGAATAATATATCTAAAGGTATACCTTGATTTAGTATCATTATCTTATGGGGTTTTTTCCTATTAGTTTGGTTGTTAATCTATATGTATGATAATTAACTTTATAAGGGCTTATAAATAAATGAATCTGATGCTGGCAAAAAAAGTGGAGGGGAAGGAAAAAAAAGAATTGAAATGTGTTATGTACATGTACTGATTCCCAACCCTGAATGTAATCATTGTGTACTACAAACATGGACTAATAAAAACTGGAAAAAAAAAGAAAGAAAGAAAATCAGGACTTCCTCCCCTAGTACCCAGGCAAAGAAAGCACAACAGGGCCAGGGATTTAGCTCAGTGGCAACGCCCCTGCCTCGAAAGCACAAGGTCCTGAGTCCGATCCCTAGTACTGAGAAAAAAAAAAAGCAAAGCAATAATGCATGCACCTGAGCACATTGATGTGGCAATGTCACCTGTGCTGACCTGACTACCCACAGACCTCCAAAGCACCTCTGCTGTAAACCTTTCTTTGGTAGTACTGGAGGACTGAGCAATCTTCACACATGCTAGGAAGAAATGTCGCTTCAAAGAGATCATCTGGCTATCTAGTTCTGAAATAAGGCATACATTATTCACCTTCAGCCTCCCATGCTTAGTCCTTTTAGTGTAGCAATCAGGCAGCTTCCAATAAGGAATTCTGTGGAAAATATGCTGTTAGAGACAAACAACTTAGCAGGGTGGCCCAACGCTGGAGTCCATTCCTCACGATCTAGCTTCAAGTGTCACAAAAACCATGCCTAAGTCCCCACCCACCACACTCTTCTTTCTCTGAATAACTAGGGGCCTCTCAGACTCCCAGCCAGGCAATTCTGCACCAAATTATACATGATTTTGTGCTGCTTGCTGAAATTATATACAGTCTTGTGCTGCTTGCTAATTGTTTCATGTGTACAAATGCCTTTTTTTCTTCAAATAAAATATGTGAATTACTTGAGAAGAGGGCTTAGTCTGATCCTTCAATTGTCTCCTCCCCAATCCTCTGGCTCAGCTGAGCTGGGCACCCAGCAGAGAGCTCTGCCCCAGAAAGGCCCAAGCACCGTGTGCGTTCACACGGCAGCCCTGCACACTTGGCTGTGGGTGCGGGCTGCCAACACACCGCCTCGTCGGCACCAAGACTGCCATGCATGGCTGCTGGGCCATGGCAGCCACAGCCTCACCTCCTGCTCATCCTGTGTCCCAGACCCGCCCCACGAGCCAGCCCTCAGCAGGCTCCTCCTCCTGACACCCTCTCGCCGCCACTCCCAAGGGGAAGAAGTTGTTCACACAAGACCAGCTAACTCGGCTGGTGCACTCATTTAATCAGGCTGCTGCAAATGGCTGGCCAAAAGCAATAAGGGCATGACTGAGAGACTGTGGGAGTTTAATATAAAAAAATTAATAAAAAAGGGGAGGAAGGAGAAAGGGTCTATCTTTTAATAGGGCCCTAATTACCCAACTCACAAGATCAGCCCAAATGAGATGCGAGTTTATTTCAGGTTTTTTTTTAATTATTGTTTTATATATATATATATATATATATATACACACATATATATATATATAAATTGCTGCTATGTGTTTTCTTTCCTCTGAGCAATTATGCAGCAAGTATGTAAAGAGGAGAAAAAATATTAATTAAATAAAAGGTAATTGTAGAGTCGGCCTGGAGAGAATGAGTCTGAACTCTGGACCATCTCAGGCTACCAGCATTTGAAGACTGCTCAGGGCCTCCCAGAAAAGAAAGAAATAAAAATACAACAACCAGCAAGCGGAAGCACAGTACAGCAGGAAAAGAGTCACGTGCAGAGACCTTGGCAGAGCCAAAGGCCTGCAGGGCTCCGGAAGCCCAGGTCAGCATACTTGCCAAGTGCTCAGGCTCCCAAGCACCGATCCAAGCACACCCCAAAGGTGGACTGGCTCCTCTTCTGTTGATCAATAAATGGTTAATCAGTAGATCGAAACTCAAAAGGAAACTGAGGAGGCACAGGACTAAAGAGGACCACTGTGTTCAATATGGACTTTAGTCTACTTCAGCTTGAGGGGCCACTCAAGTCCCCAGCCGATAGAGGGGCAAAGTGTCACCTTCTCTGGCTCTCACTCCAAGGAAGAACCCAGGCAATAAAAAGAGAGCAAAATAAGGCCACCATGGGAGTGCTGGGACTTGAGTCCATGACTGACAGTGGGTGACACAAATGGCAACACCTCTCTTCTTCTAAAACAGGCCTGGCAGCACTCATATCCTCTGGTCCTCTGGCCAGGAAAGGCTCAACCAGCTAAGGGCCTCTTGCCATCTCTTCCTGCTGCTGCCACAGGAGTGACGACAGCAGATGCCACCCCTGGTGCTTAAGGAGGCCGGAGTGTCCCCAGCGCTAGCTTGAGATAGGAAAGGCTCTGGAAGTGAAGCCTAACACTGGCTGCCAACTTAACACTGGCTCCTCGCTTAAACTTATCTGCAGGACTGGTCAACAGGATTTACAGAAGGCCCTGAAATGCCAAATGGAACAAAAATGGGGCAGGCGATAAAGGACTCCGGTGTGGACCACCAAAGCAAAAGCACTTCATAAAGACAATCACTGTCAGTACTCTGTAGGCCTCTTCCTCATCGGTAGTCTCAGATGAAGTTGGAATGCCTATCACACCCCTAATTATTGACCAGATAAAACCAGAATCACCTCCTTACACTCCTTTTTTAAAGGCCTCTTTGCTGCTCCCACCCGGGGGAGCAGAGTAACAACCATGCTGGCCCAGAAGCCTCGCTCCTCTCTGCCCCCGAGGCTCTGGCATCTCACTAATTACGACATCAGCAGTGAAGCACCCCAGGACCATCCAGGTGGATGCTTTAGCTCCTAGAGGTCCAGGCTCTACTCTGGAGAGATCTCACTGATCTCTGATCTCTGCGAGGTAGAGCAGAAGGCAGAGGTCAGAGGTCACTCACAGGAAGCTGCCACATGATACCTACTTTTTTGGTTTTTTGTTTTTGTTTTTGATGTTTTTGGTACCAGGGATTGAACTCATGTCCTTGCGCTTGCAGGGCAGGCAGCAGAACCACTGAGCTAAATCACCAGCCCTAACATGATACCTACTTTGAAGGGACCCTGCTGATGTCAAACTCCAGGATCTGAAGTATTCTTTAAACTCACATGGTATTTTATTATTAGAAAATGATACTTTGTGACTTGGGTACTTACCAACGGCTCCCGAGGCACCACATTTTCACTTCCTGGAGTAGAGCTCGGCTGCAAAGAAAAACAGAAACAAAAGTAAGATCACAGTGCCACCCAATGGACATGCAAAAACCAAAGAGATTGTATTCTCAAGCAACATACAAAGATGTCTCTTTTTCATAATTCTCACTGCTTTTTCAAAACTTTAGAGTGTTCTGTGGTGGATGACCTGTAAGAAGTAACCCCAAAAGTCTGAATTTGCCAGGAAACAGATTACTTTTGGATTCCTTGTCACGGGCCCTCAAGAACAAGGCTTGGGTTTATCAGGAGGACCCAAGATCAGCTGCTGGGGAGGAGGTGCTGGGGACAGTCATAAAACCCACAGAAATGGAGTCCAAAGACAAGGCCAAGGAGAGAGCCGTACCTCTATTATCACCAGCTCAGATCCAACTGACCAGAAGAGCAGCCGAGCAAAGTGGAGAACCAGATGCACCCACAAGGGGGCGCTACTTGTCCACACTCAAAATTTTCTCTAGGGACAGCATTTGGAGCCAGGAAGGGAGCAAACTCCACTGATTCTTCCATATCACCTATTGCGGAAAAGAAACCACCCCTCAATGGCAAAGCCAGCCCAGGCTTAAATCTTTTGTGGAAATAAGTCAATGACAGGCTGACAGAAAAACAGACCACCGTCCAGGCCTGGCTCACGTGAGCACCTTCACACAAGCACCTTCAACTCTTGCTGGGCTGGTCAAAATTTAGAGAAGGGAGCCATGGTGGTGCACACACCTGTAATCCCAGCACTCTGGGAGGCTGGGGCAGGAGAACCACAAGCTGCAGCACACCCTGAGCAACTCAGCAACTTAGTGAGAACTTGTTTAAAAATTAAAAAGGGGTTAGGGATGTAGCTCAATGCAAAGCCCTAATGTTCACTCCCAGAACAATAAAATAAAAATTTAGAGAACAGGAGGGACACAGATAGGAATGGACAAGCTCTGAAGAAATTTCCAAATCTCCACAAGAATAAAACAAGCAGTTTGAGTGAGCTGTGATTAGTTTACTGTTCCTGCTGCTCAAGTCAATTGCCAATTATGTGCAGATAACATCCAGACAAGCGAACCCAGCATGCGTGTCCCAGGAGCCAGCCCCAGCCTCCATTCTGCTCCCATGGTTCACCAGGCCTGTGCCAGGCCTCCTGGAGAAAGGCCAGCTGGCACACGGCACAGTAGCCTCTGTGAGACGAAGGACTCTCTTCCTCTGTGCAAAGTTCAGTCCCAGGCCACCGTGAAACTAACAGAAGTGGGTGCCTTGGGGATCCAGGCAACAGCAAGGTCCACAATTAGAATTCTGGGTTGTCCCTCCGTGCCCTTGCCCTACTCCTTCCTGCCTCCCATTGTCCCTCCTGCCACGGGCACCCCCTCCAGTGCCCCCCTCCAGTGCCTCCTGTCTGAGCAATCAGCTCAGTTTCACCGCACCAGACTAGAGTGCTGAGAGTCGAGTCTCCCTCACCCTCAGCCGCCCCACAGCGTGACTGCCCATATCCCTTCCTAAGCACCTCCAGATCGACCCTCCACTGCTCTCCAACTCTACAGTCATTGCTCTGGTCTACACTTCCAAAACCTTTCACCTGGACCACTGCAGCACCTTTCTAACCAGCTCACCCCACCCTCAATGGCTCTCTTCCCATACACTGCCCACAGCGTAGACTCATTTCCTGGGGAGACTCAGGCTGCCTCCTCCCTCATCCATTCATCCATTCCAGTAAGCAACAGCATCTTTAGAAGACAGAACAGAAAAAGGTCCTCAGTGTGGCCTTGGAGGCCTCAAGCCTGCTCTGAGTACATCTCAGGTCTAGGGTGCCCCCACATTCCCCACCCCTTCCCATAACAGACACACGGCCTCGAGTCCTGTCAAGAGGCCTTTGCGTGTGCTGTTCCTTCAGAGCCAGCTAAGACTCCCTCGGGAAGCAGTCCTTCTCTGACAGCCACAACTAGGTCAAATCTCCCGACAACCCCCACCCCCACACACACACAACACCATATTCCTCTCCTTCAAGAAGTGGGCGGGGGGGGGGGGCACGCACAGGGATTTAGCTCAGTGGTACAGTGCAAGCTTGAGGCTCTGAGTTCAATCCCCAGCACCAAAAACAAAGAACGGAACAGAACTGCAGTTTTCTTTTTTTTTTTGGTACCGGGGATCGAACTCGGGACCTTGCGCTTACGAGACTGGTGATGGAACCACTGAGCTAAATCCCTGGCCCAGAACTGCAGTTTTCATTGGTGTGATCATCTGAACGATGTCTCCCTCATCGGATCATGAGCTCCACACAGGCAGAAACTGTTCATTCATCACTGTATCCCTGGGGTCCAGGACAAGGCCGGGCACAGAGTAGGCCTTCAATTGCTATTTGCTGAATGAATGAATGAGCAACAAAGAACAGAACATGTACATAGGAATTATGCATAACAGTTCATTGTCTTCCTGAGGGCCTCCTTCAACCCACTTGCAGATACTAAGTGCTAATGTTTATTTAGTTCTTTCTTCATTGAATTCTCACAATAAGGGCACACAAAAGTATTACTGATAAGGAAACTGAGGCAAGGGAGGTCACTTAACTTTCCTATGACTCACCAAGTAACTGGTATATAGGGATTTAAATTTTAAGTTTCCCAGAACTGCCAAAAAAATAATCAGTTCATCTCTCCAATAGTTAAATATTTTCCAGAGGGACAAGAGGACAAGTTTTAAACAGTCCACAGTGCTAACAGGCCAAATAAGTCTCGTTTGCCCTTCAGCACCATTTAGAACTGTGAGGCATGTAAATGTGTTCAGGTTTTTTTGTTTGTTTGGTTGGCTGGTTGGTTTTATTGGAGACAGGATCTTGCTATGTAGCCCAAACTGGCCTTGAACTCAAAGCGATTCTCCTACCTCAGGCTTCCAAGTGCTAGAATTACAGGCGTGACCAACCGTGTTTTCTGTTTTTTAGAAACAAAATTTAAGCATTAAAACTAAAAAAGTGGTTCCCTCTCATTCTATTCTTTTCTTTTCTTTTTTTTTTTTTTTGGTACCAGGGATTGAACTCAGGTCCTTGTGCTTTCAAGACAGGTGCCAGAACCACTGAGCTAAATTCCCGGCCCTTCCCTCTCATTCTAAGACCAAGAGCCACATGAGACTAGTTTCTTATCCACTCCATAGGCCCAGGTCAACATACCAGAAGCACTGCAGACCTTTAAACGGCAGCACACTCCAAACCCCTCCACTCCAGGTTTCCCAGAGCCTCCTGGGTCTGGCACAACAACACCAGCCCTCCACGTGCAATGTCAATGCCACTACCCAAAGTGCATACCAACCCGCAGGTTGCCCAGGTAGCTGCCACCGGGAACCCTCAGGGCTTCACGCCAATGTGGGAAGTGCCCACACTATTGCACTCTAGAACAGTGATGGCGAACCTTTTAGAACTTGCAATGATACAAACAGCTTGCTGCAGCACACGTGCCATAGGTTCGCCACTACTGCCCTCGAGATTCTCCAGCCCATGATGTTATTTCTACAGTCCAAAAGGGACCATCACTCATTTCCTGTCTCGGTGCCCTTTAGAAAACTATTTCTTGAGGACCAACCCAACATAGCCTTGATTCTAACTTCTCCGTGTTCACTCCCGTGGGCCCATCAGCTATTCTACACTGGGTAACTACTCTGCCCTTTAGAGTCTAACCTTCTTCTAGAGATGCACTTTACCATCCTATCAAGTCTGTACCTTCAGCACCCACCTCATCAATTTGGGAGTAATTATAATTTTCATTTAAACAATTAAAACAAAGAAGCACTTGGTACATATATATAAGCCCAAAGGGGGAAGCGGGGGCAGGGCAGTGTCTTCCTGGAACCTAACAAGCATGGCTGCCCTTAACGTGATGTGGCCTGTTGGTCCCTGACCACAGAGCCATGCCACTCCCAGGGGACATGTGGAAACACGTGGAGGTGTTTCTGGAAGTCACTGTGACTCAGTTCCACTGGCATTTAGAGAACAAGGAGGCCAAATGTGCTGCCATGCACCCAGTGAAGAACTGTCCCATCCAGAGCGCCCACGGGACTCCTTGGAGAATCCTGACTGCTCTGCTTCTTGTGCAAAAGGACAGACTCCCATCTTGCTGGCGGGGGGGGTCCTGATTTTTTGAGAGGGTCTCCCTATGCAGTTCAGGCTGGCCTTGAACTTGCAGCAGTCCTGCCTCAGCCTCCCAAGTGCTGAGATCACAGGCGTGCGCCACCACTCCTGGCTGGACCCCCACCTTGACACACAACTCGAGGTACTGCTTAGATCAGTGGTGGAGAACCTGTGGAACGAGTGCCACAGTGGGCTGTTAGTTACCACTGAAAGCTCTAAAAGGCTCGCCATCTCTGGCTGAGATGATGGACTGCTTCTCCCGGCCTCATCCAAGCTCAGCTGTCCAGCAGTCTGACCAGGGCAGGCTCTGCAAACACCCAGCACTTGCTCACACACCTGCTCCCCATACATCCATCCCTTTTAGGGGTCAACTCCATTATCTGTCTTGAAATAGATAGCTACAAATTAAATTCCAACTTTAGTCATCACAGAGTACGCACTTGAAAAAAAAAATGTTTAAAAGTCACCCGCTGAGGCCTACTCCAAAGGAACAGAAGGCAGCTCCCAGGTGATCCAGTTCAGGGGCTGTGGGGTTGGAGTGGAGACAGCAGTTAGGGAAGAGAGCCAAAGATTAGGACTGGTGTAAAAAACAAGAAGTCAGAAGAACAAAACAGAGAGAGAGAGAGATACTACCACCACCTCACTTTCAGGATTGGAGGAGATAATAAAAAAAAAAATTGTACCACTCCTCTGCACAAAATCAGCCAATGGACTCCTGCTTCTGCCCAAGATGGAGTGACAGGGACTAGATTTACCCTCCCATGGAAGCAGTGAGAAACTGAGGCAATACTGAAACCACTCTATTAGACTGGACAGCTGGCAGGACAGAACTGTGATCCCTGACACAACCCCAAAAGAGCAGAGCCCTAAAATCACACTGGGTTTTTGCCAGGAGGCACATTTCAGA